TTTCCTGGGTTCTTCAAATGGTTCTTGTGTTGCCTGGGTTCTTCAAATGGTTCTTGTGTTTCCTGGGTTCTTATCATGGTTCTTGTGTTGCCTGGGTTCTTATCATGGTTCTTGTGTTGCCTGGGTTCTTATGATGGTTCTTGTGTTGCCTGGGTTCTTATGATGGTTCTTGTGTTTCCTGGGTTCTTATGATGGTTCTTGTGTTGTCTGGGTTCTTATGATGGTTCTTGTGTTTCCTGGGTTCTTATCATGGTTCTTGTGTTGCCTGGGTTCTTATCATGGTTCTTGTGTTGCCTGGGTTCTTATCATGGTTCTTGTGTTGCCTGGGTTCTTATCATGGTTGTTGTGTTGCCTGGGTACTTATGATGGTTCTTTTGATGGTCGGGTTATATATGTTTGTTGGGTATCGTGCACTATGGGTTCTTTTCTGTTGAATTGTATTTAATTATTTTTAGTATTTTGCATTTGTTATGTTCTCGCTGTTGTTAATGTTCTTCTGTGTTTGGTTTAGTTTGTCAAAGCACTTTGTAAACCTGTGTTTTTAAAAGGTGCTGTATAAATAAAGTTATTACTATTATTATTATTAAAAGCCTATTGATCTCAAAATCAATTTCGTCCAGACACATTTTCTACAGTTACTAGTGTGACCTGTGGACCATTTAAGACAAAAGAATCTAAATAAACATAAATGTTGAATGTTTATCCAGCAGCTGTGTGACTGTGACGTTCATATAAATGTTATCCAGCAGCTGTGTGACTGTGACGTTCATATAAATGTTTATCCAGCAGCTGTGTGACTGTGACGTTCATATAAATGTTATCCAGCAGCTGTGTGACTGTGATGTTCATATAAATGTTATCCAGCAGCTGTGTGACTGTGACGTTCATATAAATGTTATCCAGCAGCTGTGTGACTGTGACATTCATACAGATGTTATCCAGCAGCTGTGTGACTGTGACGTTCATATAAATGTTATCCAGCAGCTGTGTGACTGTGACATTCATACAGATGTTATCCAGCAGCTGTGTGACTGTGAAGTTCATATAAATGTTATCCAGCAGCTGTGTGACTGTGAAGTTCATATAAATGTTTATCCAGCAGCTGTGTGACTGTGACGTTCATATAAATGTTATCCAGCAGCTGTGTGACTGTGAAGTTCATATAAATGTTATCCAGCAGCTGTGTGACTGTGACGTTCATATAAATGTTTATACAGCAGCTGTGTGACTGTGAAGTTCATATAAATGTTATCCAGCAGCTGTGTGACTGTGACATTCATACAGATGTTATCCAGCAGCTGTGTGACTGTGACGTTCATATAAATGTTTATCCAGCAGCTGTGTGACTGTGAAGTTCATATAAATGTTTATCCAGCAGCTGTGTGACTGTGACGTTCATATAAATGTTATCCAGCAGCTGTGTGACTGTGAAGTTCATATAAATGTTATCCAGCAGCTGTGTGACTGTGACGTTCATATAAATGTTATCCAGCAGCTGTGTGACTGTGACGTTCATATAAATGTTTATCCAGCAGCTGTGTGACTGTGACGTTCATATAAATGTTATCCAGCAGCTGTGTGACTGTGACGTTCATATAAATGTTATCCAGCAGCTGTGTGACTGTGACGTTCATATAAATGTTATCCAGCAGCTGTGTGACTGTGAAGTTCATATAAATGTTATCCAGCAGCTGTGTGACTGTGGAGTTCACATAAATGTTTATCCAGCAGCTGTGTGACTGTGAAGTTCATATAAATGTTTATCCAGCAGCTGTGTGACTGTGACGTTCATATAAATGTTTATCCAGCAGCTGTGTGACTGTGAAGTTCATATAAATGTTATCCAGCAGCTGTGTGACTGTGAAGTTCACATAAATGTTTATCCAGCAGCTGTGTGACTGTGACGTTCACATAAATGTTTATCCAGCAGCTGTGTGACTGTGACGTTCATATAAATGTTTATCCAGCAGCTGTGTGACTGTGAAGTTCATATAAATGTTATCCAGCAGCTGTGTGACTGTGACGTTCATATAATAGAAGATCAGAAAAGACAGAAACAGAAACTTCATCTTATTCTCATGTTGACATTAATTCACTCAATATAACTTTAAAAATAAACACAACATTTGGACGATGACTCAATATGATTTATCAACCTGATGCTGATATTTGAGGTAAAATAAAGTCCCAGATGTCACGGGCCAGACCGGGGTGGGGTTTAACCACAGACCGGGTTTAACTAGCAGGTTAGCTGGTTAGCTGTGCCGGCTAGCACTGCTACGTACGGTATCTAGCCTGTTAGCTCCTACAGGACATTGAACAACTATATCTATACAACTTTTACTTAACAGGTAACTCAGTCACGTCCGTGTTAACTTGTTTAAACACAAACACCGCTGCCGACTACGTGATGAGTCGGGTTCATTGGGCTAACTAGCATTAGCTCGTCGGTGTCACGTTTTCACTGCGTGTGTCTTCACGGCGGGCTCGACAGCGCCAACACAATTAAACATCAACGTCTTCCGTGTGTCTTACCTTTATTTTTGGGCATATTCCTTCGAGCCTCGGTCACTTAAATCCCGTTCGATATAAACGCTTTACGGTTAAACGGTAAGTGTTTACAATAGTGAGCTAAAGCGCGGATCTGAACTGACTGAACGCTACGAGAAGCTAGCTAGTCGCCGCTGAGTCTATCCGCCGGTTTGCGCATGCGCCAGTGGAGGTATTCAAAAACCGCGTAGCTTTATTGTTCCGTTTGTTTGTTACAGTGACAATGGCACTGCCGTTAACGTCGAAACGGCATGTGAGTGTCCGGTAGGTCTACTCTACAGGAAGCACATACAGTATAAAAACTCTCTCAATTCATGATCCACAGCATTCTTTAACACAATCCTTTCACGAACGATCTATTTATTATATAATTATATTAAATAGCCTAGTTTGTAATTTAAACAAGTAACAACAGAAGAAATACATACAAGTTAGTTAGTTAATTAAATTTGTTTTTATTTCTATTTTTTCTTCCTGTAGCACTTTGAGATTTCTTTGCAAAAATGTAAAGTGCGTTACAAATTAAATGTATTATTATTATTATTATTACAAAAATATGTAGAATAATAAAATAAACAAAGTCTCCTATACAACGATAATAATAGAAAATATGTATTTAAATAAACCTAAGTGAAAGTATGTATTTACATTTATCACACAAAAGTTCTCAGTTAGGCTTATTTGTGTTGTGTTTGACTTTTTACGCTGTAAATCCCATTTCCCTTAGAGAGACAACAAAGGTCTGAACTGAATAGCAAAATTAAGTATATATCAAAATATAAGATCACTTAAAAAGTAAATAAGTATTAATTTAATTAAAAGAGTTATGTAGATGAAAAGGTATTTAACTTAAGGCAGCAGCAAATTAAAAGTTTTAAGACTTGTTTTAAAAGAGCTGGCTGACTGAGAAAGCCTCCAGGAGCATCTTCCACAGCTGAGGGGCATAGAAATCTAAGTGAATAACAAATAGTCAAAAAGTCCAGAACTTAAGTTTTATTCTTTATTAGATGAAATTCAATTATGAAATCATAAATCAAATCCATTCAAATGCAAGTACAGACATGTTCAATATGTAGATCTCAATATCACATAGTATCAAAAATAATGATTACAGCAATTGGAAATAACTGTACAACAAATATCAATATTGAATAACAGAATAAAAAAAACAGGAAAGAAAACAAAACAACAGGAGGGGTCTGCTAATTGGGAGAATAAAAATTCAACATTCCAAATAAAGTCATTGTTATTCTCTGTTTCTCAAAAGAGGTTAAATCTGTATAAAGTTTGTTTTAAAATCTGTAGTTTTAAAATGATAAAAGCAAAGTTGTTTGTAAAGCCATTTCACTTTTTCGCAAGTAAAACTTTATTAAAATCTTATTAATTAAGATTTGTTGGCTGATTTCCAGAAAATAAATTATATGTCTATTTTTGTTTTCTAAAAGGTATTTTTATCAATCAGTCTTTAAAAGATGTTCAATAGTTCTCCGCAAATAAAAAAAAAGTGCATCTATTGATAACAGTTTGAAAATATTCACAAATATTTTTTCACAGATAGTATTTATGTACGTTGTTGAATAAAAATTATTTTATTTAGGTTGGAATTGTATATTTGTAAGGCAAGATAAATACAGCATTCCATGTTTCTATTTATTTAAATATGGCCAACTGTTCTTAAAAATAGGAGTAGTGATATGATCGAGACGATATCTATTAAAACAGTTTGTAGACTTTCTATCCAACTTCAGTACATTTGCCTTCAGTAATACTTTGCCAATGGGTTTGTACAATTTAGACAGTGTGCACCCGTTTGTCTGCAAATGTTTATAATGACAATAAATTACCCAATATTGTGTATTGATGACTTCTAATTTTGTTGCTGTTGTATTCTTTTTTACAGTCTATGTCAGGGGTGGGCCACATGCGGCCCCCATCAACCCTCAACGTGGCCCTCAGTTCAATCTTAACATGTCAAATAATGAAACATGAAGAAAACATGACTAAATCTGCCATGAAATCATGAAAACCAGAAGTATGTCCATAATAATATTTGATCACTGGTATATGTTGAGTTAAATTTGAGACATAATTAATTTCAATCGTTTTTGGAAACTACAATTTGGCCCCCTGGCAATGAGAGTTAAATGAATGTGGCCCTTGCTGTGACCAAAGTTGCCCATCCCTGGTCTATGTAATGAACCCATACATTGAAGCAGGTATTGATATCAATAGATTTTTTTAATTGTGTCAAATGGAAGTTTAAAATTCTGCCACTGAACTACTTTATAAAACTAAAACGTTGTGTTGCACCCTGAATACTCTATTGTATTTAAATTAAGCAATAACAATTTATTACATGCATCCATTACTCTACAGTGGAAAAAGGCAGTAATGCCCCTCCACGCCGCCAGGTGGCGCGCTGTGTCCTCCCACCCGCTGCTAATGTTTGCATTGTAAAGGAGAGGAAGACATTTTAGTTTTCTGAACGAAAGCTAGTTCTTCTAATGCAGCGAGTTTAAGTTTACTGTTTCGTCTTTAAGACAATTTGCATGTGCGTTTCAACTAGTTTTTACTTCCGGCAAATAGCCAACTGGTGTGCAAAGTTAAAAAATACACATTTCCGACTGTAAGTTTTAGCCTCCCTGGTGCATTAGCTCATTGGTCGCTCAGCTGCAGGATCCTGCAGGATGGAGGCCGGGATGTCTGACTTCAGGATCACGGTGAGGTCTCATTTCTGCATAAAACCTTTCTTGAAACATGTTTACAAGAGATATGCCTTAAATACAGAACATTTGGATTGTACAATAAGTGTTTCTGTCTTTATTTATACAAGTTAATTCCTGCTATAACAACGTTTTTAACATGTTTGTTACTTACCACATGTTTTTAAACAATAGAGTACCTTTTGACTTGTTGTCTTTAAGAGCCTTTAAGTAACCTCCTCCCTCTAAAAAAAAAACACGATTTCACTATTAAAAGTGAACTGAAAATAAAGAAAATAACCACAAATTAAATGGAAATGGAGAAATCACAAATTTACAGTCTCAAACCTGCACAAATAACCTCAAACATTATAAGCAAAGAACACCTACAAGTTTGTAGTTCACATGATTTCTTTCTGATATTCAAAGATGAAACTTTGTTTTGGTGACAGAAAATCAGCTCCACAAAGATTGAGCCATGAAATGTAAGTTCTTAAAGGCCCCCTGACAATAACTTGTTCCTATCAATTAAGGATTGATTTTACAGTAAATATGATTTATTGTTCTTGCATATCTTTTTAGTTGATATACAAAGAGGCTACAAGGTTAATAAGACAAAAAGAGTCACTCTCAGGAGTCAAGTTTTTGATACTTTTTTATACCACATGTTTTAAAACAATACCACCTCTGTCGTTGTTTTAACTACAGTCGGTCTTCAGTCGTGTTTTTAACTGAAACCTGTCGCGAGTAAAAGAGAGACAGCAGCTGTGATCTATTCAAATTCATAGGTCGGCAAACACTGGCGATTCTCAGTATTTGAAAGGCGTCTTAAAAGATGCGGAACTCTCTAAAAACCCTGTTAACTTTGAGACGAAGAGCTTAAACAACGGTGGTGTTTAACGTTTTGAACTCTTGTAAAATGTCCCGTCGAATGGAGTGAATCTCGTGTCTGAAACATGAAGCTGTTGTTTTCTCATGTCAGATGTCTTCTGAACGCCTGGCGTTTGGAGGGGGACCCGCGGGGAAAGCAACGTCTTCCTCTGTCGTGTCAGGAAACACAAACTGGGACAGTGCACCTGGCATGGACGGGATAACCGTGGTGAGAATTGACGACACACACATCGCAGAGGAGCAGTCGCATGTCGGGACAAAGGTTCGAGAGGGTGCGACAACGTACTACGAGATGGAGTACTCGATGCCAGCGGATGAGGAGGTTGGGGAGGAGGAGGAAGATGTTTATGTGATTGAGTATTCAAATCCTGAAGAGGAAGGACAAAGCTACCAGTTCACGATGTCGGTAGACAGATCACTTCCTTCTAAAAAGCCGATAATTAAACATCCTATGGTCAGAGAGAGCGCCAGAGCTCCTGTGCCTGTACCTGTGGCTCCTGTAGTCCTACCTGCAGCAAGAGCACGTTCACCTGCAAAACCCAAATCCAACAGACCACAGAGGCCAAGACAGGAGCCGAGGAAGAGGAGGATGATAGAAGAAGACAATAAAACCAAAGAGGAGTTTGTGAGTAATAAGTGTGTGCTGGAGCTTGGAGAGGACATTAGTGATGTGATGAAAAGGAATGACGGGAAAGCACTTGTGTGCTCGCTGTGTCCACCGCCTGGCAAGAGCTTTAAGAGAGCGTCGGGTTTGGCTATTCATTTAAAACAAATGCACCACATGGAGGGGAAGAAGACTTTCTTCTGCACGGGGTGCCAGCAACCCGTCCGCACTCAGATCGAACTGGACGCTCACACAAAACGACACGCCAACCATGACGCCGTCTTCATTTGCGCCGTCTGCTCGGCAGAGACGGAAAACAAATCGGAGACAGAGGAGAAGGGCTTTAAAGGATCCAGGTGGGGTCTGAAGAGGCACATGGAGAAGAAGCATCCAGGCGTCATCCCACGCTGCAACGTCTGTTTCAGAAACTTCAAGTCGCTCGTGTCGTACCTGGCCGACCAGTTCAGGCACGTCGGCAAAACGCCATACCACTGCGCCAAGTGTCAGATCTATGAAATCACGGAGAGGGGACTGAGCGTTCACGTCAAAAACCACGACAAGCCGAAGAAGAGGAAACCACCAGGGCCCGTTGAAAACCAGATGCAGACGCTTCCAGTCCCGCCGGTTGTGGATAACTCCGCCACAGACGACTCTGACTTCTGACACTTTTTGTCAGAGATTTTAGACTCAAGCAACTCAGCGACCTCCTCTTTGTCGGACGGATGTCTGACATGTATCCATTCACAACTTTGAACTTTGGACTTGTTTTTTTTTTTTTAAATACACATTTTGAACTATACATGTCCTTAAAACTTGTCTCAAGTAATTCATAAATGGTGCCATGTTGGTGGAGTGTTCTACCTTATTATATATATTACTATAAGGGGTCTCAACCTGCAGATTGGGAACCATGAAAGGTGTGTGTGTGTGTGTGTGTGTGTGTGTGGTGTGTGTGTGTGTGTGTGTGGCCTTATGTCCTTTGTCTTTAGTTTTGTTCCTTATTGATCATCGTTAATATGTTGTAAAAGGAAGCACGATGACACTTTTTTTTACTGACGCTTTAACCCAACGTGGATTTAAACACCAATGGTAGAAACAAACACTATGAAAATAATGACAACATTTTCACCTGTTTATGAATCCTGTCAAAAAGTTTTAACTTTGGAGAGGAAGTACGACGAAGACCTATATGGACAAAATGTTAAAAATGTATAAAAGGGTGTTTAAAGTCACTAAAAGATGAACCAGGTTTGGTGTATGAACAGTAAACGAAGGGCAACAATCTGTTTTAGGAAATATTAACAAGTGAATCAGTTTTGTCAGTTGTTGGTTCAAAATGTCTTTTTATTCTTTTCTGTGAGAGTTTGTCTCTGCAACATAAACTTGTTTTTTTTTTTTTACTATTTTGAAATTAAAGGGATTCACCACTCATTTATTTTTAGCATTGTGACTTTTTAAAAATACTTCAGTATCAAAAACGGGTCATTTTGTGAATACGAGATTAAAGACGTACATTGAGTAGATTGAATTTATACATTTACGAGAAGTCATAAGAGAATAAAGTTGCAAATTTACAAGTATAAAGTCATGAATTTACGTGATTAAAATCAAGGTTGTACAAAAATGTACAAGGTTAATGTCCTACATTTTCAAGAATAAATCTTATTTTAGACTAATTAAAGATGTGTGACAAGCTAAAAGTATTTACATGAGATTTTATTGACGTTGAACATTTTCTCTTTGCTTTTAACCCTCAGAGACTTTTAATTTTTGACTCATTAGATGCTCGGTTCTGTTTTTCTTATTTCTGTAGTTCTGGAGAAATGTGGCACTAGATTTATTGGGTATTATTATTATTTCGAGTATTGGGCTCTAAAAAGTGTTAAATGAGAGTCATGACGCATTTATTCGCTGATTATCCTTTTTATTACTTTTAATAGAAAGACCAACTCTCACTGCAGGTACAAAAACAGAGAGCTGGTGTAGCAGCAGGGCTGAATACATCTGACAGGATCAGAGAGAAGAGGAAGAGGAGAGAGAGAGAGAGAGAAGAAGAAAGCTATTCCCCTGTTCATAATTACAGAAAAAATCTTTTACATTCCTTTATCCCAGAGCTGTACATCCAAAATTGAGGCAAAAAAAAAAAAGAAATCAACATTTATATATTTCATATTCATATAAAACAAAGAAAATCTCTAACTTAAGTCTCAGAGCAGTTATCCCTTTGTGTTGATGCACGTTCAGGTGAGGAAGCTGTTTTGAATCGTTCACACACAGAGAGTTGACGGGATGAAGTTCTGTTTCAGTGCTCGCTGATTGTCTTCAGTCCGCTCGTCGATAAAGTTGAAACCCCCAAAAGCTGAGAGGAGGCACACAGGTACAGGAGGACAGCTGAATACAGACAGAGCTAATCAGATTCAAATATCCATTAGGAGCCATGTTGGAGGTCACATCTGCCAGCTCATCCAAAACCACTCAAATAATTAAATTAAACTTTACAGATCATTTTACAGGTGCGTTATTTTCTAATAAACTGCAGAGTGTAAATCTGCTTTCTTCTGTTTGTAGGTCATACAGTAAACGAACACAGGCTAAAGATACTCACATACAAGTTAGTTCTGAATTCTAAATGAAGGCTTAGTAGAGTTGGAAAGTTAGTTTGATTTGTGTACTAATGGCTATATGTGTAGTTTCGTACAGCACTATGAGATGATAAAAAGGAGCGATACGTGTTGAATAAATACAGTTTCATAAGAAGTTAATGACCGTACTTTTTCCTGTCAGCTGGAGCTACTTTTCAAAACAAGAGTTTCCTTTAAATAACAACAAACGTAACCCAGCTGATTCTAACGTTTTCAGAGTGTTTATCGGAAACATTTCCCCTTCCAAGATTTTTAATATCCTTTAAGCAAAATCATTGTATTGTAAATAATTGCATGATCAAAATTAAAATGCACATTAAGTGGACAAATGTTTCTATTATTGAGACCACCGCGATTTTGATAACTTGTGTTTGTGAATTTGTTTTTTGTTGTAAACGATGAGATGTTATGTTTTTCCATCTGTGTAACTTGGATGCTGCACATTGGAACTCACTGACACTTCAAACCAGGTTCAGTGAAGGTTAGATAATAATCATAAAAAAAGGACATTTAGGGGGGAAATACTTCTGTACTTTTACTTTAAAATCAAGACTAAAGACAGTAAGTTATCCCCAGTCATTTACAATAAGTCTCTGTTCATAGTCCAATCTGTGTTTGGGTGAGCTTTAATCTCTCCTCTGATGATCCTCCAACATGGCGTCAACACTTTACACGTTTAAGAGCCTGAATGCAGCTGGAATGTTTAAACATTGTTTTTTTCTGCTACACATTTGAGTTTCTTTTAAAGGGTTTTGCTGACAGAAGACGTTTTGTGACCAACATGAACACATTACAGATGGTTGAGTGAGAAGAAGACGTTTCCGGAAGACAAAACGAGTGACTGAAAGAGCGTGGACGACTACATTTGGAATAAAACTCTTCTGATAAATGCTCTCCTCCCATCACTCACGCCTGTGTGCTTATTCATCCCTCTCCACAGCTCCACATAGAAAAATGCATTGTCTTGATTCATAGAAACCTGAGTTTGTTTTTTTTTTTGCTCGTACATTTCCGTTTATATATTTACAGGTCAGCTCCAGTCTGCTGCTCACGCAGAGACCATCATTCGGCTCGTACAGAGGAAGGTCAGAGGCTGATGTTTTTTAAAAACGAGACTGTTTGTGTGTGAAGGAAGATCTTTTTTCAACTCCTTTTTTCTTTCTTAGAAAAGTCCAACAGTTTGTCCCCAAGCAGTCTGTTAGGTCATATTTGTAAAAATACAGATTCCTAAGAGACAACGAAGGATGTGTGACTCCTCAACGGGAGAGATAAATGCCTTCAGGAAAACGAGCCCCTCAGCAGATTTTTCATGGAAGTTAAGTGACAAGTCTTAAAGCTGCACAAGGAAGGAAATGAAAATGCAAACATATTCTAAGCTTCTGAAGATGTATTTAAAGTACTTTTTGAAAATGTATTTTCTGTTACTTCACCTCCTCTACATTCATCAGGAGATTATCAGAATATATCTGTGGGGCTGTTTTGCATGATGAGCACATGAACTTTTGGTACTTTATTTAGATGATTGATTTGACTTTGGTATGGGTAATTGCACATGAAATGACACAATTAACAGTAGAATATCTAAATCTTCTATGTGCTGTTCAGTGTTCGTATTTGTTTGTATTTATCTTAGTACATTTTAGGCTTCTTTTACACTCTCGTATCATTTTTAATTGTCTTAGCTTCTTAGAAATCTTTCGGTTTGTTGATTGTATGCAGGACTTCCTCCAGAGTGTTTCTACACTCGTGAAACTGTTGGCTTACTTTAATTCTATTAATTCCTGTTTTATGCAATAATTATTTTCAGCTCACATGTTAAATGCTCTTTGGGGAACTGAAGGTAAAATGAACAGATTAGAAGTAAAACAATATTTACAGACTAAAATGTGATTCACTCGTTTCTTTCTCAGTCAGATCTTTAAATAAAAATAATAAAAATAAAAATAAGTATGCATACTTTCTTACAAGTAAAAGACCAGCATATAAAAGTCATCTTCTTTGTTTAATTATTATTCCAAAAAAAACTGAATATGGCTGCCTCTGACAGCCCTTTCTTCGCATTGTTTTGTGCTTTAAATGTTGAAAGGTTAGCTCTCTTATCACCACCAGAGGGCGCCACACATTGCAAAGTTGACTTTCGCGGCGTCTAATCTCTAGCTACAGTACTTATTCCAGTTTTCTGACCTGAAGAAAAGTGCTAACTTGAAAACCTGCATTTTGACATTTATATGAAACATTTGTGTATAATGACGAGGAAGTAACGCAGCTAAAAGTCGTGTTAAATCGAGTGATATTCTATATTCTTCTTGGTGTCAACAAATCCCTTTAAAAAGACCGAAAATTATCCGATTTTTTCTAACCTATGTGGTCGTTTTTTGTCTCCCTCCGTTTGTCTTCTATCGTCTCATAGGTTTACTTCTTGTATTGAAATGTGACCAATTTAAAAACAAAGGAAAGAAAAAACCTAAAGTATCTTTTCCCTGATAAGAAACATAAACTTAAAGAGATCATGAATATCAGGCTTTATATATATAAGATAATTCATTCAAATTGAGCACCTAATGAGGATTAATCTGCACCTGAAAATAGTCCCTTTCTCTTTGTTCATTTGATAAAAACTATCCTCTCTAATAACTCTGTTATATACTGGTTTGGTGTTTCAGCTGATTTCAGTGGGATCTGACGTGTTTCCAGTTGAGAGAAACAGTTATTATGGGTTTTTTTTTTTCACAGGACGTCGACAAAAAGATAATTACAAATAGCTGACTCCTGTCTTGTACGTTTATCTACAACCTGAGGGGAGGAAGCTTCGTTTCATTCCCTAAATTCAGTTGAGTTTCTGAAACACACTGCTTGATTTATCAGCAAACTGTTGGACTTTGAGAATGAAGTCATCTTCAGGCTGAGATGGACAAATTGCTTTTTCGTTCTTTTGCAGATTCAAGGTAAAATGCTGAATACAGGAGGTGTTAGATATAGAAAAACTCAGGCTCCTGAGACTTTTCTTCACCATGAAAAACATCGAGTCTGAGCTGTAAGGTGAGTAAATGCTTTGTAATCTTTCCGCAGTCTTGTTTTTATCTCTGCAGTTAAATCTTTGAGCCCCCGTTGATTCTCGCCTTCTGTCCTTCTCAGTAGACACCGTCATCTCAGAGGCTACTTGAGGTTTAAATACAGGATCTACAGCTACGCAGAACCATGACGACAGCAGAATAACGATGATCCTAGCTCTTTAAATGCATACATTAGATAACCGTGTTCCTATGTTCACACTGGCCCCGTTTGGAGTGAATAAATACAGTACTTTCTTTTTCCTGACGCGCTGATTGTCCAAAGCAAAGATGAGACCTAAACGACAGGTCTTCAACCACGAGATCCAATCAGAGGAGTCCGTTAAGGTGCAGGACCAGACAGGGAGCAGGGGCGGAGGTGGTCTCTGTGTTCCTATTTGGCGTAAGCGGTTCCTGGGTTCATCAGTAGTCTGTCCCACCGGACGGGAGAGGAGAGGAGGAGGAGTGGGGTCAGGAGGTGGTCAGGTCGAGGTCAAGAGTTAAGACGAGGAGGTAAGGGAGGCAGGGTTCAAAAGTCACAGAGCGGTGGAGGTGATCTTTTTCATCCCCCTGCGCTGGGCGAGTGTGGAGCAGCCGACCGGCTCCAGGACTGGAGGGACGTTTCTGTTGAGGGCCGAGTAGGTGGCTGCCATCGCCCCCTGCAGGGAAGACACACACACGCAGTCAAAATACTGAACAATATCAGAGAGACCATTTTCTTATCTTTACATAAAACCAGTTGCATTTCTCATTTTTACAAGTCTGAGAGGAAATAATTCCAGTTGAAAGAGAGAAGACTTTATGGTTTCTAGATCTGATGTGTATCTGCAGTTGTTGTTGTTTTTTTTTTTTTATGAAATCCTTCTTTGGAAGTTTTGCCACTTTTGCACGCTTTCATTATGAACAAACGTGGAACCTTGCAGGAGAATCTAATCCTGGTAAACTGGCTCAGAGTAAACAGTAAACAGATACAAAGTGTGACAGTGAGAACAACATGGGACATAAAGAGCAGATAAAGTTCAGTATGGAGTTCAGACCTTGACCTTGACGAGGTTCGGCTCGTCGTGTCGGTTGAGGGTGTATTTGGGCAGCTGGTCTCTGTGCGTCACCCAGGGGTGTCTCAGGACCTGACCCGCCGTCAGCCGCCGGTGAGGGTCCACATGCAGCATCTTGGACACCAGATCCTAAGGGGATTAGATGTCACATGTAAGATCATATTTACAGCTAAGTCAATGGAATTCCAGAGAGCACTTCATCATAAAACAGCGGTGGAAGACATTTAGCGATGTAAAAGTACAATTAAAGCATGAAAATGTTTAACTGCAAATAAAGATCAGGAATTTAACACCTTACCTGAGTAAAGAGTCGACTACATTTAGTCAAAGTATGAAAAGTAAAACTACTCACAGGGCAGCTGTCATTTTCTGACTGTAGTGTGTGACGCTGCTGCATTCACGCTTCAATATGTTCAATACACTTTTTAGTTAGTTTACTCCACAATATGCTATTTGAAAATGCTTTTCTATCAGATTATAACATATTTGTTGCATCACTGCCCTGTGTGAACAATATTTTCTCTAAAGGTTCCTCTTCTCATGAGGAAAAATCTTATTTTAAAATATCGAAAGCTGTCAGACAACTTCAGTGGGTGCGGAGAAAAAGCTACAATATCTGAACCTTTGCTGTAGAAGTATAGAGTTCATTAAATACTTGTGCAGCTTTCAAATGGAACAGGTTTTTTTAAATTGTGTTGGGAATTTGTGGGCAGGAAAGGCTTGACCAAAAAAATCCCTTGTTCTCTTTCTGGCTTTCTATATGGAAATGCTGACATTACATTATTCCTTCATGTTTAACCGTGAGACGAAGGAGACAATCCAAGTGAACCCTCCCCCATAGCTCCTTTTGGTCCCGTCGTTACTTTAAGCAAACTACAAGTGGACTCTGCTATTTCTGAAAACGTTATCATCAAACACATCACAACTCGTGAACTTTCAGAAAAACTTGACTTGTCACGATGTCATGAATAAGAGGGAGGCGTTCATTGTGTCTCTTCTCTCAAACACGGTCAACATGAATTCATTTGAAGACATCAGTGACTTCAGTAAATCTTCTTGAATTTCTAATCAAGTACAGAAACTAAGTCGATCTATATTTTAGCCCTTTATATACAGAAATAAACATCTCTGTCATTTGCTAACAACGAGATAAAATTAAGTTAAAAAGATCAATTAATTTTTGCGCTCTTTTTTTTGTGTTTGACGTGTGTGTGTGTGTGTGTGTGTGTGTGTGTGTGTGTGTGTCCTCACCTTGGCCTCAGCAGACACAGAGTTCCAGTATCCTCCGGTGAGCGAAAACTTCCCGCTGCCGATTCGAGCCAGAATCTCCTCTGGAGTGTCCTCTGGACCGTTAGCGAAGGGAGTGAACCTGAGACAGAGTAAAAAGGTCATGTTTGGATTCCTGAGTTTTTTGTCTTACAATCTAAAAAGGTTTCTATGCTGCGTGTATCTCAGTCACACAGTCACAAAAAAACAAAGCTCTTATGAGATGTGTCTTTTCCACCCACCCTGTTAGCATGGTGTAGAGCAGGACTCCCAGACTCCAGATGTCACAGGCGGCATCATAACCCTGCTTCTTCAACACCTGCCAGAAGAAAAACACCGCTTTCATGTGTTTCACTGAACCTCTTTTAACATCTGCTCTGTTTTTCTGTCCTTTCTGGGTTTTATACTGCAGAAACACAAAGCTTCAACACTTCCTGAATGATGCACATTGAACATCTGAGGCACACATTCACACTCCACAGTTCTCCTCTTGTTTATACAAGAGGTATTTAAAGGTGTTTTATTAAAACACTCATAAATATGTAACGGAAAGAATTCAAAAGCATTCTGAAGGAGTCAAGTTAAGAAATAAAAACACCTGACTGCATCTCTGTGCACGAAACAACAGCACACAAAGAAACCGAAGTGAGATAACAGATGAAGAGATGGAGACGCTGTACCTCAGGGGCGACGAAGTTGGCGGTGTAACACGGCGTCATGAGCAGACCGTTCTCTGCTCTCAGCTGTTTGGCGAAACCAAAGTCGCAGATCCTGATGGACTCGGCGTTCCCGCTCTCGTCCACATAGAGGATGTTGCTCGGCTTCAGGTCTCTGTGCACCACCTGCAAACACAACAGAAAAGACATCCCTTATTTAACAAACACCACCTGATCTACTCAACGGCGTCCTAATTCACGTCTTTCCCTGCCTTTCTTTTAATCTAATCAAATTTGACAAATCCAGCTGGTATAAAAATTAAGATATTATTAATCGATTAATATCTTAACAAGGTGAAGACGTCTCCTTTAATTTCCAGACACGCATATCTTAACTTTAGAGCTGGATAAAACCCCCATCAATTGAAATTCACACTGAAGTATGGAAAAAAAAAACAGAGTGCTTCTTTGTGACCTGTACAAGAATTATTCATCAAACCTGCTTCAAGCGTCCCGTTGCTTTAATTTCCTGCATGTTTACTCGGTGTGCGAATCGCTGTGCACACACCATACAGGGTACGATATGGTGCCCGAGATAACAATAATATAACTGTAGACAATTCTGTGATTTATTACAAGTCCATCATATAAAGATACATTATGATGTTTGATTAACGGAAGAATACAAAGTGCAGGATTAATATATTTATTCACAGCAATTTCCTTGTTCCTAGTTAATTGTTAAGCACCAATACACCAAGCCAAATTCCTTGTATGTGTAAATGTACTTGGCAATAAACCCTGATTCTGATTCTGATTTAGTGACAGTTTGACCTCACATCACGTGTCATCCTTTCACTTCTTTTCACCCCTGACCGATATCATCCTACTGTCTTCTTCTTCTTTTATCCTGCTGTCCAACTTGTATTCACGCTTGAATTTCCCTCAGAATCAATAAAGTATCTATATCTACCCTCATTTATTTCACAATTGCCACCATGAGGAATCATGAAGTGGTGACACAGTCAGTGAATTTGCCAGAGAAGTCCATGTATAGCGATGTTTCTTAAATGTAAAACATTGATATAAATTTGTAATGAGATAATTGTATCACACAAGAAAGCTCAACTAAATATTGCTGTGTTGATATTTTGTTCCACCCTGAATATTTACGTGGTTTATTTCAGCATGGACCTCTATAAAAGAAACACTTGGCTCTTGGTGTTCAAATAGTCTTAGAATAAAGATCATTAAAACTAAGAGGGAGAGCAGGAGGATTGTTCTGTGTGGATTCACTTTCACAGTAGCAGTAGCAGTAACGTACCCCCTGAACGTGCAGGTACTCCAGCGTCTTGGTGATGGTGTAGAGAACAGCGCTGGCTTCTCTCTCAGAGAAAAACTTCTGCCGCAGGATTTTATCCAGCAGCTCTCCTCCTTTCATCAGCTCCGTCACCAGAAACACAGACCGGCCGTCATCGTACACCTACGTCACAAAACATCACAATAACAACAGTTTAGTCAATTGTTCTGCGGATTTATTTATTCCACCAGTGTGCTCACTCAATCTGAATTTCTCAACAAACAACAGCTTCAGGCCTGTTCATTCTGGACATTTGTTCCATGAGGGTTGATTAAACATGCAGTGTGAGGATTATGAGCCCAACAGGCACAAATGAGTCACACAGTTACAGTGAAACTACCTGAGAGATAATACAAACGGTCAGTTTGAAAAGGCTAAAAAAATCTAATTCAAGTTCCCATTACCGGCTCCTTTTCTGCTTCTTTGACAAATACCATTAGCTGAGTTTCCATCATAAGTATCCAGGACTTTGTGTTCATACAAAGACACAAAAAAAGGTTTTAACCTCCCACTGCTGCCAGCGTTTCGAGCAAGGTCTAAAGACATGAGGCTCCGGAAAACTAGTTTGCTGACGTGTGAATGAGTCTTCTGTTTTGTTTTCAGAAATGTTAAGGAGGACGGTTAAACCCACATCATGAAGTGGCAGGGTGATGTGTAATCAGCAGCTCGGAACAGATAAGGACGTCAAGCTTGAACACATTTTGTGGCACTGACTAAAGCGGGCAACACCCTACAAGATCATCGGCCGATTTCTGTCGCAATTTCCCCCTCCCGACAAAAGTCAGCCAAGGCCCGATTATCTGATGGTTCCAAAGATTATCTTACCAGACGTTGCTGTGGTGTGAGGAGTGTTAGGAGTGATTCTCCAAGCTGTTTGGAGGACTATCGCTGCAGCCCCAATTTGAAATCGCAACATTATACATCTTCAATATTTACGGAAATCAGAAATCACTAATCTTGCTGTGTTGGGAGAACACAGAGGACAGTCGAGCAACACTCTGTGGATTGTCAAAAATAGCCAATCAGGAAGCAAGCTGTCTGAAGCAGGAGGCACAACAAAAACAGCCGTGGTGATGACAGTAAACACGATGCATGAAGTTAAATAGATGTCAGAAATGGAGTTGATTTGAGGCACCAACACACGTGCTTAAACATTAAGAGAACTATAACTATAAAAACTATAATCATAAGCATCAGATTTAAAGAGACGCTGTCATAAATTGGGACTTTTCAGCAGAAAATAACACTGATTTGGACGGGGTAATAGCAGCATGTGCATCAGGAACTACAGCGCACTGGATAGATGCAAGGGTGTTAGTTGTTGCATCTCTGCAAAATTGAAATGGTGCCTGTGGTACAGCAGGACAAAGTATGACAAAACATCAAAATAATCCTCAAAATGTGGAGACTGACGTTAACTCTTATTTATTGAATTCCTGGAGATTGAAGATGAAAAAGAAAAGAGAAGTACTAAGAACTAATCAGCTCTACAACAGCACGTAAATAACATAAGGCACTTTATTTATAATCTTTGACAACAAGCTGAATCATCTCAAACAGCTTTTTTTAAACAAAAGGAAGCGAACATGAGTGCAGATTCGATCATTCCTGGAAGTGATACAGGAGAGAGCATTTCACCCGGCAGCTCGGTGATATTTATAACTCTCATTAAAGTGAGTCACGCAAAATCTGACACCAAACTTAAACCGTTAACAAAACACAGGGAAATTATTTATTTACCCACCAGCTCCATGGACATAACATAACGGCCTTAATGCTCTCTGAAGTCATTTAAACTATCGAGTTTTTTCTCCTCTAATAGATAACGTTAAAGGACAAACTCCTCCAAATGAGATCACATAACTCACATCTTTGAGGGTGATGATGTTGGGATGTTGTCCGTATCGCAGCAGGATCTCCACCTCCTCCGTCGGGTCTCTCTTGGACTTATTGATGATCTGTAACAGAGACAGAATCAGGGACTGATTCACAAAGGGATTGTGTGGCTTTATCGCCGGCTACACCTGCGCGAATGAGACAAAAAGGAAAACCTCTCTAATTCACAAAACACAAAGGGTTAAATGCTCGGCAAATTTGCACCACAGAGCAAACAGTGTCTCTGCTCACCAGTGCTGTTTGCACGTATTTAGAAAAGTGATTTTGCAGCCATTGGGGGGAGATGGCTCATTGCTACACAAATGAACCTCAATGCAGAATTGTATGAATAATTTCCCCACTTAGTGTTTACAGGGAAAGAAAGCTGAAGTTGTATGTTGAGCTACCTTGACAGCGTACTCCATGCCGGTTCCTTTGTGTACGCCACGTTTACAGATCGAGTACGACCCGACGCCGATGTCCTCTTTGATCTCGTAGGCGTCTGAGAACTGGGATGTGCTTCTGTGCAGCTGCTACATGCAAAGACACACATGTCAACACAAACATTACTATACAAACTATAGATTGACAGATTAAGACAGTTCTGGATGCATCACATTGCTTTTTTTTAAGCTTGAAAGTGAACATTTATTTTTTTAACTATTCTGTGCTCACTTTATACCCCGTAGAAATGTTGAAAACGTGCTCACCAGGAGATGTCCTCATGTTTTCATATGCTTATATTTAAGATAAGATTCGTGACGACGCTCTGCCATCATTATGTCTTTTTAATTTATAGCATTTCTGCCACGGTTTAATATTGGCGTTCCAATCTTTGAATTCACATTGCATTTCGGCATTGCAGAATCATGACATGTAGAGAAACAGCAGGAGCTCCACATAAACACACCGCTCAGACATGCACGCGCACACACACAGCGCTGCTCTCCCCCACTGGCTCAGCATGATGCCTTCTTGCTCCTGTAATGCCTCTGTTACTACCTCTGATGGCGGTACAAAGTTTGGATCACTATGTCACCCAATTACATCTCCGTGAAATTCATAGTGAAAGCCGGACTCCACAGCCGTGTAAACATCGCTCCTTGAAACAGGAGTCTGAATAGGACTACACTATATTCATCCTCCTTAAATTCATTTTTTTTTTACAAAATGTCAAAGGAAAGGATGAGTCCAATCAAGTAATATGTACAAATGCTAAGGCTAATATCAAAATATATTAAGAAATATGCATTTGCACGATGTACACCTTTCACTGTCTGTATGAAATTTTGAAATAAACGAAGAAAATTACCAAGTGACAAAATGTTTATTTTGAACTGTGCATGCAAGTGTGTGTGTGTGTGTGTGTGTGTGTGTGTGTGTTTGTACCTGTACAATAGCATTGGGTAGTGGTTGTATGTCCTCCTCTGTTATCGCCACAAAGCTGAATCCTCTGAACAGCTGATGGGCGTTGGCACTGGGAGGAACCCCCGGAGAGTCTGACACACGAACAGAACACATTTAGATCCAGAGCGCTCAGGAAAAATGTAGATTTTATTCAGAATGTACCAGGAGGAAGAGGGGGAGGAGGTGGTGACAGTCTGTACCTCTGGGTGTTTTAGCTGTGAACTCTGGATCAAAATAGAGAGTGTCGTCAGGTCGTCCTGCAGCCGGTTTGAAGGGAGGGGGGATCTCTCTGCGGAACAGTTTCTGCACAGAGGAGGAGGACATGTTAGAAGACCAAGACACAAAGTCAAGGATAGAAGAACTAAATGAATGTTAATATTTAGTTTAAAAGTGATAAAAAAATGGAGACACTGACATTCCAGTCGATGGTGCTGAAGAAGTGATGCCTCTTGATCTCCTCCACACCGTCTGGTCCGGCTCCTGCAAACAAAAAGGAGGAATTAGTGGGTTTGCTGGTCAAAAAGTAAAAATGTATGCTTTAAAACAGCAGTCCACAAACACATGAGTGATGTCATGTTGGCTACGTTCTTATCTTTTTTTAAAGACACTACAAAACTAACTTGTTCCAGCTCAGAAAGTAGGATACAGTAAGAAGACTATTCATGCATAATACCGGTACTTGTTTTTCTCTTTGCATCATTTTAGACTAAATGGAATCTGTACATATCACTGAACTGCTACTCCTTTAACCTCTACTGTTTTTTTTGTACTGTTGTAACTGATTCTTCACAAAATTTGTTAAAAATAAGTTGTACCTAATCTGTTAGCAGGGTTGCGTTTGAAAAGGTTCCTGAGGAGACTCTGAGCTTCTGAACTTAAAAACTGAGGCATTCCCAACTTCGCCCTGCAAAAAAAAAAAAAAAAAACACACACATAAGAGTTCATTTAATATCAAAATCAAGCTTTTATTAAACCCACAAAATATCTGCACGATGTCCATATTGTGTATCCAAACTGAGAGAATCTGAAAGATTAGACGACAGCATGCTCCACACACAGGAAGCACAATCAGCAGTCTGCTGAGCTGACTCAGCATTATTTGACAGACAGACACTGAGAGTGAAAGAGAGACCACACAGGAAACAGGACGGGTTAATATTTCTCGTAAACAGTTTTAAAAAAAAAAATTCATTCCAACATGATTCCTTCCCTCATTTCCTCCGACCTTATCCTTTCTCACCCTCTCCTCCCTCACTGTTAGAAACTGCCATCAAAAAAGCACTTGAGTCCATTTCTCTTATCTGTCCTCTGCTCTGACCATCCTTTAGTGCTGCACTTTATCTCCTCTCATAGAAAACCTTCACCTTCCCCCGAGCTGACTGAGGATGGAGGATGGGAGGAGAGTCTCTCTGTCTCCTCTTGGCAGAACATTTAGCTGTAATAACAGTTCTTAGGAGGTGATTGGACATGAGTGTAAAGACAGTATGAAGAGTCTCACTTGAGGATCATGGTCATCGTCTCTTTCCGGTCTTTGCCTTGAAACGGCAGCGTTCCCGTCAGCATCTCGAACTGAGATAAAGAAAACAGTCATCATAAGTGCAACAGATAGAATATTTCTTGAAATGTTCTTATGCGAAAGCCTATCATTGTTACATTTACTGTGAAACATGTTCACATCTTTACATTACATATATGTACGACCACAGCTCCTATAGCATTGATCCACAGCACAGCCCCATTAAGATGATTTATAGTATTTCTTCAGATTATTTTAGATTTAGTTTTAAGTAGGACTGCATGATAAATCACTTGATAAATCAATTAATAACTATCAGAACTGCAATGTGTGTACATGCAAAAGTCACATCATGGGACGTGCCATGTCAAGCAGATGACCTGAGACACAGTCATGATGCAACTTTTTTAGTTCTTAATGCAAAACAAAAAATCCCCAGTTCTTTGTTTTCTGTTTTTTGCCTTTCTGCCTTTATTAAATACGAGCGCACCACTTAAATAGATCTTCACTGGGGGGCTTATCAGGCTGATATTATATATGTCTTCATAACGCATTATAATCACAGAAAGAAAATAAATCGCAATGTCAGTTTTTCCAATATTGTGCAGCTCTAAAGCAAACTGTGTTTAAACCGTCTGCTCTGAACACAAACAGCAGGAACAGCTTGGAAACATTCCCTCCCTTGAAGCTTGTTAACTAGCAGCGTTTTCTCACCATGAGTACCCCGTATGACCACCAGTCGGCGCTGTGCGTGTGTCCTCTTCTGTTCACCACCTCAGGAGCCATGTACTCCACCGTCCCACAGAAGGAGTATGCCTTATTCTCGTGGTCTATTGACTCCTTACTGAGGCCAAAGTCTGAACATAAACACACACACAGAAATCAGCAATAAAGGAGTTATGAGCCGCAGCTTGAGATGGGAACACACAGACAGTAATACATGCACACAAACACATAGTAGAAAAGGCAGGTGTAATATTACGCACCAGTCAGCTTGATGTGTCCTTCCTCATCGAGCAGGATGCTGAAAAGGATTAAATGTCTTCAGGCAAATATTCATAATGCACCATAACTGTGTGTGTGTCGGTGTGTGTGTGTGGACAATTGTGTACCTATCTAACAAAGGACCTTGTTCTGATACAAACTCACTAACGGGGGACTGCCAAGCAAACCAGGACATATTGGAAGTCATGCTTTTAAATCATGTCCAAAACCATCTGATGATTTTTTTTTACTGTAGCCATACTGAGACCAACAAGTCTCAAGATGTAATGTTAAATTGAAACAAATGGATATCAGTGAGAGCATTTCTTCTCAGTATGTTTTATTGCTTAAAATTGATCTCACACAAGACGTTCCAAAGACCTTCAAAATTGTTTCTTCCCAAAATATTAACCTGACCAATTTCTACAAGTACTTGAAGTCGTAAATATTTTTCTGTACAGACGTGTTAATGCATTTAGGAAGATATTTTTGTTGACGTATGTTATGGCAACAAGTTGCATCCTGTTGATTGTGTAGGCTTGTGACATTTGAGTGTGTGTGTGTTCATACTTCTCTGGCTTGAGGTCTCTGTAAATGATGCCCAGGCTGTGAAGGTGATCAAGGGCGAGAGCAAGTTCTGCCAGGTAAAACTTCACGTCTTCCTCTGTGAACATCACCTACAACACACAAAAGGTTTATTCTTTTAAAGAATATCGAGAATTGTGGATTTTGGGGTGCAGATGGCTTAGGAGAGGGGGGGAGATGTGTTACCTCCTTGGAGAGACGAGTGAACAGATCTCCTCCTCTGAGGAAGTCCAGGATTAGGTAGAGCTTTCCCTCCGTCTGAAAGGCTGAAGGAAGGAGGAGGGAGACAGGGAGAGAAAGTTTGAAATGTTTAATAAAGCCTAAGACACTCACTGCTTGTTGAATACTTTCCGCTGGGAGATCTGTTGCCTGCTAAAAGAGGAATAATGCGCAATGATTGGCTCCCGTGTTGGTGACTCATCGCATGAGGTCTGTTATTGGTTGACTCACCATAGTGCAGTTTGACTATGAAGGGATGGTTGACCTCCACCAGGATGTCTCTCTCCATCTTTGTCCTGACTCTGTCACGCACTGAAAACACACAGAGTGGAGAAACACATAAATCACCAGATAGAGCTCTTAGTGAACAGCCAAAATAAAACAGACTCCCTTATTTGGTCTCTGTTTTGGCCGGAGAGACTCTCAGATGGCAGCTGATGAGTAACAGCATATCAGGGAGAGAGAGGAAATAAATCACGAGCAAGCAATTTGAAAAAAAGGGAAATGGCCAGAATGAAAGAACTGTTCAGTGAGAGAGGAGAGAAAAAAGACGAAAACAAAAGAGTTTGTTGTATTTTTTTCTCCAGCCGATGGAGTTTGAATAAAATTGACCTTTACTTCAAGAATTTGTTTCTTCCTGTCTTGGTACACCTCTTTAGCTCTTTGTAGCTCTGTTCACTCTCATGTTAAGGTGTGAAATTCCATTTTGGGTGATGACAACTGAGCAAACACACTCTGAATCATCTTGTGAAACAATTTCCTACCAGATAAATACATTTAACTTCATCATTAAAAATATATTTGTCTGACAAATCCTTGAGTTAAACTTTAAGGGAGCTGAGATCATAACATAAAAAGAAAACCATCAATTAGTCTGTGACAGATGCATCGAGTAATTCATTGTAAATGGAATAAAGCAACAATCCCAAGCTTGTTTCTTAAAATATAAATCAAAACTGTATTTTGGTACAAACTTGAGCTGGGAGATTGGGAGATATTGATGTCTGAAACTTAGGTTGTGGGTGCTGCCAGTACACAAAAACATCCTTAATGGACATAGGCTCTAAGAGTTTCTGGACATCAATCAATACAGGTGAGAGCAGGAGTACAGTCCATAAGTCAGTGCAGCAGTCTGGCTCACCGTTTTGTTTTTCTAAACAACTATTGAGAGTTATGGCTCAGAGGAAGAAGATATTTCAAGCTAAAAAAAACTAGTTTGTAGATTAAATCTTTTGTGTTTTTCGCCTTTTCGTTTGGATTTGTCTACAATAGAAATATATACATTTGATTCTTCAATATGAGGAACTTTGTGTTTCTTTTCCTTTCAGCTGCTTTCAGCTACCTTTCAATGTTGCTTTCTTCAGGACCTTCATGGCGTAAAGCTGACCCGCATCTGGACCTGTGATCTTCCTCACCAGAAACACCTGCAAACACACAATACAACAAAAAAAAAAACGATGGTGAAAAATTAAGTCAACTTTGTATGTAGTATGTGTGAAGAGTGTAATGAATTGTTGTATTGCTAATGGGTACTGACACTGCAGGGTATTAGTGTGGAAGTGTGTATTTTTCATCTTGATTTGGTAAATATATTTTGTACTCTTTAATTTTGTTTTCATGTGTTTGTGTCTTAGAGTTTGTTTGTTTGGGTTTGCATATTTTTCTAGGTCATAATTATGTAGATCAACACACACACACACACACACACACACACACACACACACACTTATACAAAGCTCAAGCGTGTCACTAATTGTTCATTCATAAAGAAGATGATACTGAGCGAATGTGTGAAGAGCCCTCAGTCGGCCGTATCCATAGCAACGGGCTCTCAAACACAGCCACGAGGGAAACATTTCAGGGATTTGAGTGGAAATGAAACCCACACTTGTGCACACACTCAAGCCTACTCACAGAACTGAATAGTATTTAAAAAAAAACACACACACACGCGCGTACCTTGCCGAAGGAGCCCTGTCCCAGGACTTTGCGGAGCTCGAACTGTCGTGGGTCAGCTTTCTCTGATCCCTCCTTCACGTGGTTCGTGATGTTGATCTCCTTGATTGGCACGTCATCCTGAAACACAAAAACAAAACACCCTAACTTAATTATCTCCGACATGAAAGAAGTTATAATTATAACACAATCTGTTTGCTAGGCAGCAGGATTAAGAAAAAACGGTGGGTCCATTTTTCATGAAACTTGGTGGAAGGACGTAGCATCGATTTTTAGCTGGATGCAAACACATAAAGCACTCGAAAAGTATTTCAGCTATTTCAGCCTTTTGAATTTTGCTAAATAAACTCAGATTACGGCCCTTTGTGTGAATATTTTCCCCTTTTCTACCCTGCTTTAATAGTAACCTTAATATGTTAACAGGAAAAAGATACTTTTGGGAGATACTGAATGACATCCCACATCCCCCCAAAGGCTTTCCTCAGGTGTGTTCACAGAGTTTTGTCAAATGAAAGAGTAAACTTGATCAACCATGACATGAAAGCAAAAACACTTTAGTAAACATCACCAATTGGTTTTTTTTCATTTCATCTATGCTCTGTTTGGAAATGTCACCATAATTCAAGGAAGTTTACAGACACAGTCAGGGTGAATTGTGCCTCAAAAGGCAAGAATGCATTGCTGGTGTGTGAAGCCATGTGGCAGGGTGTGGTCGGGGTAACCAACTAACCAGGGTGTCACGTTGTTTTTTCAAGCCAAAAGTAAAAAAATAAATAAATAAAGAACGGCAAAATGGAGCAAGTTCAGGCATGTTCTCGGTGTTTTGTTTCCTGAAAGGCATTCTGGGAAATGCAGTACATAAAGCAGCAGGCAAGAGTAAATCCTGAAGGTGAACTGCAGAGCGCTGTGCATGTTTTCCTTCAGTCTGGTCTTCTTCACATCTCAGTGAATCACACGGCAGGTTTAGCAAGATCCACAAATCACAACACACACACACTCTAAACTGGACACACACACATTCAGGGATGCACAGTTGTCATGGATCCACCCCCCCCCCAATACCTGCTTCCCGCTGTAGCTGAGTGACTAATGATACCATACTGTGTGCGTGTGTGTGTGTGTGTGTGTGTGTGTGTGTGTGTGTGTGTGTGTGTGTGTGTGTGTGTGTGTGTGTGTGTGTGTGTGTGTGTGTACACAGACGTACTCAGTGAATCACCCATCCTTCAAATTCTCCCTAAAGCTTGCTCTGCTTTGAGTGCTCAGGTTATGATGCAGAAAAAAACAAAAACAAACAGGTAAACAGGTGAACACATTTCCCATAATGCTCTCTGCAATGCTCCTCTCTGCAATCCACCTTCCTCCATTTTCACCACATCATGTCTCCCTCTTCTACTTTACTCCCTCCTTCCTCTGTACCTGTATCTCCCAGGTGGGTGACCTATTGGCTGCCGAATATCCCAGTGCATTGTGGGTCCTGAAGTCCCGACTGCGTATGAGGCTCTGTGGTGCTAACATGCTCCTGAGAAACGACTGCTAGGCTACAGGATGCAGCCGGCTTCTGCTCGTCCCTGACACTCTTTCCTGTCTCCCTCTCTCTCTCTCTCTCTCTCACACACACTCTGTGTCTACCTCTCTCATCCCTATTCTCTCTTTCTCAGGACTCATCCCTCCCTTCCTTCCCTGGATCCCTCCTACTTTCTCTCTTTTTTTTCGATCTATATTTGAACCGTTCTCACCTCTCTCTCTGCTCTGGTTTGCATGTCTCTCTGGCTCATGGGATAAGAGAGGGAGGGGCTTCCACTCTTTAACATTAAAACTTTCAAAACATCTTCTAGAAATATAGATTTAAATTAGCAGTCTTTTATTTACTAACAACATTATGCATATTCAGTGTATGCCTTTGCATGCAAAATTTAAATTAAACCTACTTAATATTTCAATGTTTGTGTTTAATGTACATGATGCATCATGTGTTAATAATTCATTGAACATTTCAGCGGTCAGACAGAGTTTATCTATTCAAATCTACAGTACTACCCTCTGAAATGTGGCATAAAGCAGCACAGCATGATCGACTGCAGTATTTAAGCACTGCTAAGACGTATTCCATCATCTTTGGCTCAAAACAAGTTTTCTTGTGCCAAACAAGGAGCTGCAGAAAATAAACAATCAGTCGTTAACACAATCGGAGACTGGGATGTTTCCCACTTTGCAAAGCATCTGTTATTACTGTGAGGAATTTTACAAAAGCTAAGAAAACATTTTTTTTTTTTGTTTTGTTTTGAATGATAGGTGTGAAAAAAAGTAGAAAACTTTGGAAGTGGAAAATTGGTGCCACAACTCAGGTGTTTTGTGATCATGGGGAAATGGCAAACACATGACATCTGGAGAGATCGAGGTTTAATGACATCATAGGACATGTGTGTGTGTGTGTGTGTGTGTCTGAGCACTAACATGCATACTAACTGTGCAAAGTAAAGCACTGTGCTGACAATGCCGTGACATCGTTCAATAATCTGGGTCTGTGTCTGAACTGCCAATACTGCTGTCAATAATGCCAATGTAACCTTACTCTGTTACCTAACATATTATATCTCTATTTATCCTTATTTAGGAACAGTTTCTTTAAAGGTAACACTTATCCCCTTACTTTATGTCTCATGTTTTCTGTGTTTCTCTTATATTTGAAGCTCTTTTGTGTCACTCTGTGTACTATAATGTTGGCTGACCAGAATTTCCTTGGGGATCAATAAAGTTTAATCTTATACACACAGAAAGGGGGAAACCAGGCACTCCAAGCATGAAAGATGTAAAAATGAGGAAAGAGATACTTAGCAGCTTAATCATTTAAAAATCCAACATGTTTGGACCATAGAGGTCTTCTTCAGGGCTGATGAACAAACACCTGTGGTGTGACTACACAACTATATATAAACTGCAGCCGACAAGGCAGTCACACGAATCAGTGAAAGAGAAGACAGGTGAAACACCGGCTGACGGCTGCAATCATGTGTTTTCGAGTTGGAAAAGGCACATGTACGCCTGCTCAAGTCGAAACAACAACTCAAACTCGGTAAAGAATTAGGAGCCGACTTGCCTACTCGTTCTCATATTCGTCACCACAAGGCAGGCAAAGTAAGTTTTGTTAACATTTAGATATTTAAGATTCTTACTTCATTCACGCATTGCACATCAACTTTTTGCTCAAATGGACACAATGAAGTCGGAAGAAAGACTTCCCAACTCGAAAAATGGAAGGAGCACATGAATGCAGCGCACGTTTTCAACAAGGCTTACAAATCAACCATTATGGTGATGGCCTCACACATATAAAGTATATTAACTACAGCCAATGAGAGGCAGCCACATGAACCTGAGGAAGCTGAGCAATCAGCACCAACTGAACACAGAAAACCCAAGAAAATATATAAACATGTATGTCAACAAAACAATAAATAAAAATGTCCCTTTTCTGAGCATTTGACATTTTTCCCTATTTCCAAGAGCACCAAATACTTTTCTACAATTTATCATCTACATCTTTTCTACATTTATATATTATCTTGTCTTAATAATGTTATGTAGTGTATAAAAGAAACAAATAAGTGCATTTTTTTTTGCAACATGTCCCTCCTGAATCAAAAATAAATGTAAAAGCTTTGTTTTTGACTATTTGTCTCTTTTTCTGTCATGCACAATGCTGAATTCTTTTAAATGAATAATAATCTGCTCCCTAAGAATAAGAAAGCCAACAACATGACATATGAGTTAATTTCAGCAACTTTTACCAAGTATGTTGTCTTTGAAATCAGTTTTTAATTTAATCTCAAACAGACAGTGATGTACACACCTTTGTACTTCTAGAAGCAAAACTGTAATGTAGTTCATTTATTCAGAACTGGATCTGCTGCGTCTGTTTGTGGGTGTTCATGTTTGCTATTCTGCTCCGCTCTCAATAACGACATACACATATTTCAAAAAAGAAAAGGAGAAAAAAAAGGTTCTGCTTCTTAGATTTTGGATACTGCATGTAATTAAACATTTCTATAACGTATGCAGCCCTACCTTAATGATTCCCAGCCTTACTCTCCTCCACACATGCACACATGCCATCAACACTGCATATAAACAGCGCTTAATATGGAACATCACACTGTTTGTTAATGAGACTCTTCATTAAACAGAGCTGAACGCAGCTCACAACGTTGAAAACAGCAAAGAGCTGATAAAAAAAAAAACACCAACAGATTTTTGGGGCTCTGCTGTCTAAGAAAAGAGATTTCTGAGAAGCCAACGAGTTTAGGAATTCTGCCATTTCAAATGTATTTATGTGTGTACGTGCGTGTGTGCTTGTGTGTGAGTCAGAATGCAGATGGAGGATCAGAGTCGAAGCGACAGGATGCTCATGTAGCACCTCTTAATCACAGGATTAAAACTGCTAACCCTGCACCTGTTCTTCCAACACACACACACACACACACACACACACACAGACATACACACACATACATAGTGTGCATACACAACTGATGCGCCAACACATGCATGCACATTACCTCAAAAACTACCTGTCTCTACAACCTGTTTTGGTCCCTGCTATGGTTTATTATTTTGGTCCCTGCTATGGTTTATTTGTATTAAGATACACACAAACTGACAACACACACACAAACACATGTACAGATTTCAACCACAGTGTTGCAACCACAATGACAGCACTAGCACATGTTGCCTCAAATTTTGCCTAAAGAAAAATACACTCCAGTCTCTACCTCTCTGAATCGTCTCGGCTTCAGGAGTTTTTGCTCTCTATTACTCAGGAGAAAAAAATTCATCCTGACTTATTCATCTTCTTTTTTGTAACCACAACAATGTTATAGTGAGAAACAATCTGCGGCATTAAAATCAGGTAAGGCAAAAAAATAAAAAATACATTTATTTCAGTCAATATAGCAACTGTCTTTCCATATATGCTTCATCTTGAAATATGTTTTTGAATACCGCTACGAGGTCATGTAGATAGGAATATGAATATAAAGCTTCATTATCAATATACTGATGAGCAACAGAACAACAAACTCAAATTATGATGGCACACCCTGAGTTAAACTACAAATATA